ACCACTTAATTCACCACTTCTTCGGCGCATCGGATCCACTGACTGACACCCACCGCACACGTGAACCCCACGCCCGGCACCACAAAGATGTCTAAACGGCGTATCGATTTGGATGTCTCGCACACGAAGAAGAGGTAAGCCGTGAACTAAACAAATCCGCGACAAAACGCGTGACAATTATCTCCGCCATCACTCTCACCACCACTAATGACAACTAGTCTTATGTCCAGTCGTGGCGGCGATCATCAGTCGGACCCATCGGGCATCGAGTCGCTGCTGAAGGACGCGAAGGCGGCCGTAAAGACACCGGCGATGGCCGGCACCACCACCACAGCCGGCATCAACCCGTGCACTAAAGTGCCGTACAGTCAGCGCTACTACGAGCTGTTCCGGAAGCGGATCCAACTGCCCGTCTGGGAATACAAGGAGCAGTTCCTGGACCTCATCGACAACCACCAGATACTGGTGCTCGTGGGGGAGACCGGTTCGGGCAAAACGACGCAAATCCCTCAGTGGTGTGTCGAGTATTGTCGCAACAAAGGCAGCATCAAAATCGGTGTCTCCTGTACTCAACCGCGACGAGTGGCCGCCATGTCTGTGGCCACTCGGGTGGCCGAGGAGATGGACGTACCCCTGGGCCAGGAGGTGGGCTATAGTATCCGTTTCGAGGACTGTTCCGGTCCGAAGACTATACTCAAGTACTGTACGGACGGTATGCTACTGCGGGAGGCGATGTCCGACCCCCTGCTCGAGGCGTATAGCGTTATACTGCTGGACGAGGCCCACGAGCGCACCCTATCGACCGACATACTGATGGGTGTACTGAAACAGGTGGTCACCAAACGCAAGGACCTGAAGATCGTGATAATGTCGGCCACTCTGGACGCCGGCAAGTTTCAGCAGTACTTCGACGACGCGCCCCTCATGAACGTACCCGGGCGTACACACGCCGTCGAGATATTCTACACCCCGGAGCCCGAGAAGGACTACTTGGAGGCCGCCATTCGCACCGTTATTCAGATTCATATGTGCGAAGA